GCTCCAGACCATCGGGGGGGGGCTCACGTGGGCAGGGTGCCCCCCCCGGTTTTTACCTGAGCCTAGAAACGGTCCTTTGTGGGCTACAACGCCCATCATCCCCCCACCCAGCTGCCCTTGTGTCTCCACCGTCCTTGTCCGGGCGCCTCTCCCTCCGGACGCCAGCCGTTCCCTCGGCCAGGAATCAGGATCGGGCCCGAGGTTGGGGCTGGCCGGCGGCCCCTTCGCCCGAGTCTCAGGAGAGGAATTGCCCGACGCTCCCTCCTCCGTTCCCCCTCCCGCCAGACTCTCTCTCTCTCTCTCTCTCTCTCTCTCTCTCTCTCCTGGTTCGGGAACCGGCCGGGCAGGGAGCGTCTCCAAAGACCTTCTTCGGGACCGGGAAGAAAAGGGGCGCCGGGCGCAGCGGCCGAAGCGAGAGATCGCCACCGCCCCGGAACCTGGTGAGGGGGGGGGGGAAATAGTGGTTTCCCTAAATTGGCCACCTCCAAATGTTTTAGACGACAAACCCTATCATGCTGGCCAGGGCTGATGGAAACTGTAGTCGCCCACCCCCCTCTGAAGGCCACCAGGCTGGGGAACCTGATGGACTGGCGAGGCCTGTGTTCAGATTCTGAGAATCGCCCTCATTCGATCTAACCTGCTTTGCAGGGTCGTGAGAATCCGGGCTTAGCTAGCAGTTCAAAAACCCAGGCACGCAACAGGCCTGAGTTACTGACCGGTGGCGGGAGAGGGAGAGATGTAGGGACTGTCCATCATCAGAAAGCTCACCTTAGGGGAGAGGACCAAAAGGAGGACAGGGGCCCTCCGCCAAAGCGGTGCCCAGGCCAGCCTCCCCTCCCCCCACCAGCCCAAGAGAGTTATTACGGGAGGGTTCTCACAGGTCCTGCCTTAAGAGGGTTGCAGCAAAACGGATGGAGAGACTTGTGGCATTCTGAAGCCTACACTGTTTATCAGGCACACGCCCTTATGAATTGCCCCAAGGCGGCTTACTCCCCCTCCCCTCCTCCCACCATAAAATAGGTCAATCCTTCGCACCAGGAAACCTCTGCGAGTGCTAAGAACTGGACTCTGATCCCTCTT